AAAAATGAGTCTTTCAAAGCATTCAAGTTTTCATAGAGTGAAGGCAGCCTGAGTCTATCTTTTTTCAAGTCCATTATTTATTTAGTTTAGATGCACTAGTAGTATCCTCAAACCACAGACTGCCTGCTGTAGTAGCGAGTCAGAAAACTCACTGAAGTTGGAACCTGAGGACCTGAGTTTTTGCATTCTGCCTCAAACCCTCATTAGCTAAGTCACTTAGGCAAGCTATGGACCTCTCTGAGCACCAGTGTCCTAAAATAAGGGAGCAATAATAATACTATTGTGCTTGTTGTGAAGGTTAAGTGATAAAGTTTATGGAAAAGTACTTACACCAGTTTTAGTTACTAATGTATGTGCTAATTTCCTGTGCTGCATGATATATTACCATATACTCAATGGCTTAACACAGCTCTGTAGTCAGGAGTCTGGCTTGGTTCAGCTGGTTCCTCTGCTCTAGGTCTCAAGACTGAAATGAAAGTGTTGGCTGGCCTAGGCTCTTACCTGAGGCTCTGGGAGAGCATATACTTCCAGCCTCATTCAGGATGTTGGCAGAATTCAGCTCCGTGCTAGTGCAGGACTGAAGTCCCCATGTTCTTGCTGGTGACCTTGTGGCATTCTGTTTCCTGGGGGCATTCTCTGCTTCATGGCCCCCTTCATTCTCGAGGCCTGTGACAGCAAGTTCAGTCCTTTCTTCTTTGTCAGAGGTCAGGTCTCTCCGACCTCCCCTTCTGCCTCATCTCTCCTGCTTCCAGCCATAGCAAGAGAGCTTGCTTTTAAGGGCTCACGTGAATAGATTAGGCCCACCCAGAAAATCCAGAATGATCTCCGTTATCAATCAGAATGCTCCTCAGAAGCAAGAATGGTCAGACTTCATCTCTCTTTGGTTATGTTATCAGCATGGACCAAGCACTGGAGAAGGATATCATGCTTGGTAAAGGGTCAGGGGAAAAGGGATCGACACAGTGGCTGCAACGATGGACTCAAGTGTAGCAAACACTGTGAGGCTGGGACAGGACCAGGCACCGTTTCCTTCTGTTGTTCATAAGGTTGCCATGTGTCAGAAGTGACTTGGCGGCACCTAACAACAACTGCAAAGTCCCTTTTGCCCTGGAGCGTAATATATTCACACACTCTAGGGAGTAAGGCGTGGACATCTTTAGAGAGTCCATTCTGACTACCAGCAGTGTCATTTTAGAGCTGGAAAGGAACTTTTACTATGGCCCACCAGAAGAATGAACAAGTCTGTCTTGTGAGAAGTACAGCCAGAATGCTCTTCAGAAGTGAGGATGGCGAGACTTCATCTCATGTACTTTGGACATGCTATCAGAGAGACCAGTCCCTCAAGAAGGACATCATGCTTGGTAAGGTTGAGTGTCACCAAAAAAAAGGAAGACTCAACGAGGTGGGTTGACACAATGGCTCCAACAATGGGATCAAGCATGGCAGTGATTGTGAGGAGGGTGCAGGATTGGCAGTGTTTCATTCTGTGGTGTGGTACATGGTGGTGTGGTACATGGTGTCACTGTGAGTCGGAACCAACTTGACGGCACCTAACAACAGAGAAGGGCTTTACAGAGCATGTGCTGAGGTTCTTGCCCCAGAGAGTTTACAAGCCAATGGGGCAAAAAGATGAAAAATATAGTAATGCAACAAGAAAAGCCCGATCATAGTTTGTGTGGGATGGAGCCCAGAAAATCCTTTCGTGTAGCTTGATGTGGCCTGTGATTTCCATCATGTGCAGCGTGTTCCTCCATGAGTCTTACCTTGGTGAGAATCCTTCAGATGGAGTCCATATACACAAAATAACATCATGTGATTTGATTCCTTAATACCCAGAATGTCAAGCTGCTACCATAGTTCAGTATTTGGGACTCTGGCTACTTAGTAACAGGACCTTGTTCAAGATTTATAAAATTCAGGTGTAAGGAAAGGTCTTAAGCTCAAGGTGGGAGAAATTTAATTATTTTCTTCTTTGATGACAAAGTGTAACAACAGTGTGTTGTTCCTTATATCCCCTTCCCCATTAACAGAACCCCCTTCAGAGCCTTCTTATCCTTCATTCCTAGCTGTCTGGCCCTGTGTATGTCTTCATCCCTTCCCTTTGTTGAGTTTTTTTTTTTTCTTATTGTTCTGAATTAGAAAACACTGGCCCAAAACAGCACAGAGGTTTCTATTTAATTTTTGCCACTTGTCATTTCTATTTTCGTCATGTGTCCTGAATGTTTAGGAGGTCTCAGTGATCTATTGAGCACACACCATTTGACAGGCACTGTGCAGAATCCTCCTGTTAGTGTATTTAATTCAGGCATTGTGTAAGGCATTAAATATATATATATATATATCATTGCCGTCAAGTTGATCCCAACTCATAAAGAGGGACCCTACAGGACAGAGTAGACCTGCCCCATAGGGTTTCCAAGAGTGTAAATCTTGACAGACGCAGAATGCTCTCTTTCTCCCACAGAGCAGCTAATGGATTCTAACTCCCGCTTTTGGTTAGCAGCCACGTGCTTAACCACTGCACCACCAGGGCTCCTTATGTAAGGCATAACAAAACCAAGCCAAAGTCACTGCCGTTGAGTTGATTCCTTCTCATGGTGACCTCCTTTGGGTTTCCAAGGTGGTAAATCCTTATTGAAGTAGATTGCCCAGTCTTCCTTGTATGGAGTAGTTGGTGGGTTTGAGCCACCAACCTTCTGGTTAGCAGTCAAATGTCTTAGGCGCTACACCACCAGAGCTCCTATAAGCCTATAAGGCACAGGTACTACTTTTATCTTCATTTGAACCCAAGCTGGGATTTGAATCCAGATCGAAGGCCAAAGCTTGTACATGACACCATACTCTATTGCTCCATGGTGTGTTCGTGTGTTTACACTGGTGGAGCTCAGATTGAGGTACAGCGTGAAGGAGTCGAAGCAGCACAAGTAGATTCAGGAAACATTCAAACCCAGTGCTGTTGGTACAGCCCTTCAGAAAAGGATTTGTTTGCTTCTAGAGGCACTACCAGGAGCCCTGGTGGTGCAGTGGTTAAGTGTTTGGCTGCTAACTGAAAGGTGGTCAGTTCAAACCCACCAGCCCCTCCACGGGACAAAAAGACCTTGTGAGCTGCTCCCATAAAAACAGCAGCCTAGGAGACCCTATGGGGGTGGTTTTAGTTTCTATATAGGGTCACAATGAGTCAGAACCTACTCAACAGCAGACAACCACCACCACTGGGATTGCCTCCATATTTCCCACTAGAGACACTCAAGGTGATTCTGCCAATCCATACTTCAGACAAGTGGTTACAGATCGTGTCTGCAGCCCTCACAGCCACAGAACACGTGTGGACATTGGCCTGGCATTCCACAAAGTGGGGGAGGGAGTTGTGTGCCCTTTGGGTGGTGTCTGAAAGACTCTAACCCCAGCGGTTATTAGCTGAAGCTAACAGAGAGTAGCTTTCCTATAGGATTGGGAGATTAAAATACATATTTAAGGATTTAGCATGGTGCTGGGCACTTAGTGGGCACTTAGTATGTGCTGGTTCCCATAGCCCTTCTAGAAGATTTTCTTTAGTTCATGGGAATTTGAGCCAGTAGAATCCTGTTCTTCTCACTTCAATTGAATGTAGGCTCAATTTTCAGGAGAAGACCAGATACTTCTCTGCTGGCCCCTGTCCAATCCTGTGAATCATACCAAGTCTCGTAAGTTTGAGCTCAGAGAGAACTGGAATTTGAGGCCAAAGAAGGCAAAACATTTCCCCTTCTCCTCCTTGCTAAGTTCTTGAGTTACTGGTATAATGGAAACAGTCTTGGGTTCAAATCCAGGCTCAACACTTGCCTGCTCAATTACCTGCCTGTTTCCATCACAGAAAGAACTTGGGCTGTGAAGAGACTAAGTCTGCTCCAGCTTTATCAATTCATGGGTCGATCGCTTATTCTTTCTGAAGGTGTCCCCTTACCTGTAACGTGGGGCATGTGGTACAATCAGCAGGCATAGCAGCAGTCACAGAAAGGCTTCGCGTGGCTTTACATCAGCCACTCATCCAGAGCCCTAGCAATTTAGGTTGGACAAGTGGTCCTAGGCATGATTTATTTCTCCTCCTCCCTCTCCAGCAGGAGGGCAGCCAGGTGAGGTAGCAGGTATGGGGGAAAAGGTTTGCTATGCAGTGTAGGTGCCAAGTACCATCTAAACCCAGCCCCTCCACCCCACATTGCTGAAGCCCCTGGCGCCAAACATTGTTGCTTCAGCTGCTAGTAGTTAATGCTAGTTTACTTGGAAACGTTTTCAACTCCTGGGAGCAATATGGTGCCGGGAGGGCTCACTGGTCGTCCCCCGTGTCTCCCTGCGACCGGGATCGGCATGCACCCCACTCCAGCCCCAATTTATCGTCCTTCAAGGCTCTTCAGGCTGTAGGTCCAGAATCAACTTGGGGGCGGGGGAAACTTTTCCAGGAAGGGGCCGGTCAGGGTCTTGGCTGGCGGCCCCATTAGCCATAACCCAGGACCCCAGAGTGGAAGAGTGAACCGAAAGGTACTCGCGGCTGGAGCGACTGCAAAATCCTGTCATGAGGCGGGAACAGCTCAGCGGCATTGGGTGGAAGGGGCTGTCTTTTCAGGTGCTGGGGCCTAAAGGGGGTCCAGTTCCACTGCGGAAGCCTGGGAACTAGGAAGAACCGGGTCTGGCTCCATTGCGGAAGCCTGGGAACTAGAAGCGTTGTGGACTAGACACTCCGCCTTCCCGGTTTCCTAGAGGGGGAGGCGTGGTGCGGTGGGTCCAGCCAGGCTGAGAGGGGTTGGTGCCGCAACTCGGCCTCCCGGGGTAGTGGGGCCTGGCCAAGTACAGCGCCAGGAGGGAGCAGCTCCCCAGTCCCCGCGCCTGTGGGGACCCTATGCCTGTGTCCGGAGGAGGCTGGCGTCCGGTAGATGCACGCGGGGGGGAGGGGGGCGGAGGCGGGGGAGAGGCGGGGAGGAGAAAACCCACAACAAAACTTGCGTCGCGGAGCGCAAAGCTTGACTTGAATGGAAGGAGACCACGTCCGCGGAGCGCAGCCGAGACTCGGGAGAGCGCGTTCGGCAGGCTGGGCGCGGCGCAGCGCCGGGGCGCAGCAGGTACCGGGCGCGGGCGGCCGGGGAGGGCCCAGGGCCGGGAAGAGCTCCGACTTCCCCACCTCTGCGGACCGCCCAGCAGCTGCCCGAGGCGGGTCCTCCGTCTCTCGCCCCCTCCCTCGGACCCCTGCACCGAAAGCATGGCCCCTCGGGGTGCGACCTCTGCGCGACTGAGGCCCGGGTAGGGGCCTCTTTCCTTCTCTGGCCAGAGGCTGGTCCCAGTCCCCGGGCCCCTTCCGCTGCGCACATCTGGAAAGAATCTGAGGGCGGGTGTGTGTGGGTGGTGGTGGGGGGAGTGGAAGGACTCAGGCGGGGCGACAGGGAATGCGGGGGGCAGGTGGAACTGGGGAGGGGCAAGGACCCCTGTATGCAGAGCTCAGGCTCAGTGGCCCTGCGTCTTTCCACGTCAACTTAGAGTTCCCACCAAGTTCAGCATTTGACGTCTTTGCATACAGAGAAACATAAACACAGGGTTCCCGAGAGGGGTAGAGATCTGCTCCCAGGGCGCGCAGGCAGGCAGGTGAAGCGCAGCCCGCGCGTCCGACGCCCAGACCTGCTCCCGGCGCGGCTCCAGGGATTGCTGTGCCGCCCCAGCCCAACACTGAGCGCTCACTGAGCCGTAGCACTAAGCTGGCGGCCTGGTGTGTCCATCCATCTGTCTACGCAGCTGCCTTCGACCGGCCTCGACAAACAGCTTCAAGGAAGAGATGGGAGGGTGGCGAGTGAAGCCTGCGCCCTCCTGCTCTTGGAGCAAAAGCCCCAGGTTCCAGGTCCCTGAACCACTAGCCCGGCCTCGGGGAGGGGGACCAGATCTTAGCGTCGGAATACCTGATGCGCGGTCAGGTGGAAGAGGAGGTGGCCGCGGCGGCGGCGGCAGCGAGCTCCTTGCAACTTCGGGCTGAGACTGCGGCCGGAAGGCAGCTGCGCTGTGAATTTAGGGAGAGGAGCAGGCGCGGCTGCAAGGGGCGAGCCGTCTGACCTGGGTGTGAGCGGCGCTGACTGCCCCTGCCTGCAGAGGGATGTGCTCCCAGCTCTTGGAGTGAATTACTGGCTTTCGAGGCCCGTGCAACCTGAGCGTCTGAGATGGGGAAGCTGTGATCTTCCCTGGCTACAGGTGTCGCCTCTTTTAAGAAGCACCCTTGGTGTGAATCTGAATCGGGAGAGCCCCTGGGCGATTGTGTCCCTATTTCCTTTGTACAGAAACCTTCCACACTGGGAAAGCCATGGGGAAGTAGGAGGGGCCAGCCAGACCCCCAGCTCCCACCACACAGAGGTAGGTTACTCATAAAAGCCCATGGCCCACTCTTGGTGCAAGTTAAGAATGTTAGATTCACATGACCATTTTCATGAGCTCCATGGGGACTGGCTTTATTCCTTCTGTGTCAAGTTGGATAGGGGGTGACTAATGGTGACATCTTTAGTCCTAGAACAGCTGTGATGATGACCTTCTTTGAACCCTGATAGCTCTCTATCACCAACACCTTAGCAAAGTGGCTGATGCCATTGGCCAATTGGTCCTCCAGTCCAAGCCTCCGTCCCTCCTGAACTGTCTACCCTTCCTTAAACACACCACCATCACCATGCCTTTGCTGGTGCTGTTCCCTCTGCTTGAAGTGCCTTTCCTCCCCTTTGTCTTCTTGGAGAATTCCCCCTCAGCCTCCAAGACCAGCTCAAGACTCTGGGCAAGTGTCAGAAGACCCAAATTCTCCTGGCCTTGCTTTTAACATAACCCATTGCCATCTAGTCGATTTCAACTCATAGCAACCCCCTTTGGTTTCCAAGGCAGTAAATCCTTACAGAAGTAGATTGCCCCATCTTGCTTCTGTGGAGTGGCTGGTGGGTTTGAACCATCAACCTTCTGGTTAGCAGTCAAATGCCTTAGGCACTACACCACCAGAACTCCTTTAGAGACCCTATAGGCAGAGTAGAACTGCCCTACAGGGTTTCCAACGCTGTAAATCTTTTTTTTTTTTTTTTCAATTGTGACTTGTGTACAAATTTACAAAACAGATTCCTTTTACACTCAACATTTTATGCACATTTTGTTTCATGGCACTGATTACAATCCCAACAATAAACAGCTCTTCTCCCACCTCCTCCCTATGACTGCCCCTTCGTTGTGTCCTTCTTAGCTATGTATTCCTATCTATCTAGCTTTTCCCCTATGCAAATGATGCCCTTCAGATCTTTCACAGTTAACTGTTCTAAGGTGTGCTTCTAAGGGGTGCATCTAAGGGGTAGGTATTCCAAGGCTGTAAATCTTTATGGAAGCAGATTGCCTCATCTTCTCCCACAGAGTGGCTGGTGGGTTCAAACTGCTGACCTTTTGGTTGGCAGCTGAATGCTTTAACCATTGTTCCACCAGAGCTCCTTGCCTTGAACACATTAGTCTGTAAACTGAGGGAATGGGACCAGATAATGTTGTAGATCATTTCCAACTCTGCCTTTTGCAAATTCATTCATTCAGCACTCCTTTACTGAGTGCCCACTCCATGCCTGGGGAGTCAGGGAGGAGCTCAGCTGAGCCTTGAAGGATGAAGGGGGCTGAGAGGTGGGTATGGGAACACAGGAATCCCTAACATAGCCGTAGGGGGAGGAAAGGCTTCCTGGAGCAGGGGCATTTTGAGCAGGGCCTTGAAGGGGAATAGGAGTTTGCTGGGATGGGCAGCAGTGGGAGCTCTTTTGTGCTTGAGTTTCCTCATTTGCAAAATAGGAAGACTAACTCTTAGGTTTGGAATTTCTGTTAGAGTTAATATGATGCAACCGTTCGGAGCCCAGCACAGAGCAGATAATCAGTGAGTTTTTACTGGATTTGTCCATTCCTTTGCAATGTATGGGGAGCCCTGGTGGTGCATAGTTAAGCACTCAGCCAGATGAGGACCAAGCGGGCCCCTGGTCTCTGGGAGCTTCAAGTCCCCCTAGAAGGAACAGTTTAAATCCTTGGGACAGTGAGCGTTGGGTGAGAGGGACAGCTTAGCTTACACATGGGGAACTTCAGAGATGGAAGGACATGGGTTCCAATTCTGACTGCTGTGTGAATCTGGATGAATCACTTCACTACTCTGAGCCCGATGTCCTAGTCTTGGAAATGGAGATGGGAGCTACCTCATGAGAATTAAATAATGTTGGTGACATGCCCAGCCTGATTTTGACACCATGCATGTGCAACATACATGAGGTTACTGTTACTGAAGAAGGGGAGTGGACCTACTACCTCTCCTCCAGGGAACCAAACCTTGAGGCCCGAAGGGCTTGAGTGAGGGATCAAGGCAGGATCAAGGAAGGAGAAGGGGGACCCAGGTTAGGAGGCAGATAGCCCCCAGCACAACCTCCCTCCTTCATATATTGCAAAATCCATTGCCTTTGTGTTGAATTCCAACACAAGAGTGACTATATAGGACAGAGAAGAATTGCCCTGTAGGGTTTCCAAGACTATCGTCTTTACAGAAGCCTCTGCATACCTCCCACATGACTGGGACACAGAAGGTACATTAGGGGCTTAACTTGTTCAACATTCTTAGAGAACAGGTGAGAAATGTGAGGCTCAGATGGGTCAGTGATGTAACCAAGGTCACACAGAGCTGACAGAACCTCAAGGTCCTGAGGGTGGCCGGCCGAGCTGGAAGGAGGGAGGAGGTGGCTCTGGGGCCACCATTCTCTGAACCCTTCTGCCTCTCCCTTGAATCCAGCTTAGGCCAGGTTCATCATCTCTTACCTGCAGCATTGCCCAGCCTTTGAGCACGCTCCACTGATCCTACATAGCATAAACCTATGTCACACTCCTGCTCTTCAATGGCTCCTCATCTTCCCTAAGATAAGGATCTTACTCCCTAACTTGGACTTCAAGCCCCTTCCTTGTCCAGTCTTGTGGCCATTGCTTACTTCCATTACTCCCAGTCCCCAAGCCCCACAGACACTTTAATGAGCTTCATAGAGTTCCCCAGACACAGCCTGGACCCTCACTGCCAGGCCTTTGCACACATTGTCTTTCTACTGGTGCCACTCCCCCTTTGCCTGATATTCATACTTTGTGGCTAGAACAGACACCAGTTCAGCTCAGAAGCCTGCTCTGACCCCAGGCAGAGTTAGGCCTCCTCTAGACTCCTTTGGCCTCTAAGCTTCCCCCATCACACATCTGATCACACCGCGATTATAATACTGACAAGTAATGCTTAGACCAGTGCTGTCCAATAGAAATACAGTATGAGCCACCAATGCAAGCCACATGTATAATGTAAAATTTTCTAGTAGCTACATTTAAAATGGTAAAATAAAACAGATGAGGTTCATTTTAATAATTTATTTAACCCAATGTATCAAAAATACTTGAGTCTTTGAGTGGACAGTTAATGTACTCAGCTGCTAACCAGAAAGTTGAAGGTTCAAGGCCACTCAGAGATCTAGCAAGCTCCTTCTGAAAAAACAGCCACTGACAACCCTGTGAGGCACAGTTCTGCTCTGACACACATGAGGTCTCCAAGAATTGGAGTCAACTTGGCAGTGACTGGTTACTGGTTACCCAAAATATCATGTAACCAATATAATAATCAATGAGCTATTTTAGTAGATAGTATAATTCTCTTTTCTGTACTAAGTCTTTGAAATCCTTGTAATTCCATTCGACACAGCACATCTCAGTTATTACTAGCAGCCACATGTGTAGCTACTATGTTGGACAGGGCAGCTGTGAGCTTCTGAAGGGCAGGAGCCAGGCCCGAGTCTTTGGTCTGGGTCTCCAGTGCCCAGCCGTGCTTGGCCCAGGGAAGGGCAGCATAACAGTGTAGCTAAGACCTGAGCTGGGAGCTCAGCATTGCTGCTTAACAACTGTGTTACACTGGCCAATCCCGTTGGGCTTCAGCTCCCTGATCTATGAAATGGTGATGATAATATTTTCAATATGATTCATAATGTTACTATATGTTAGATTTTTTAAAATATAGATGCAGTTTACAGATTTTTATAAAACGGAGGGTGAGAGAAGAAAAAGAGCCTTTCTTGTGAGTACGTGGGCCAGATGGGGACCAGAGACCCTTCCCTTGACTCCTTCCTCCTGGCCTCCTGCCCTGATTACATCTGGTGCCTGTGTTCGCACTCCCCCTCCCAGAGCCCTGGGCTACAGTGAGGTCAGGGGGGCAAGGAGGGGGCTGAGGCTTGCTCTAGTCTAATCCTGGTGGCTCCAGGGCCTCAGGAGGCCCTGAGGCAGCCTTAGCTCTGTTCCCTGATGGCGCCTCTCGCCTGGTTCTACACACAGACACAGAGAGTTGCTTACAGCCCCCATGTATATGGGGGAAAGACATGTTCACATTTTCACAACCCATGCTGGGGACTAGTTGATACAAAGCCCTGGGTAGCACACATATGAAATAGTTTATAGGAAGAGTGGCAGAAATAGTCACATGCTGGGCTACAAACCAAAAGGGGCTGGCGGTTTAAATTTGCCCAGAAGTACTTCGGAAGAAAGGCCTGGTGATCTACTCCTGAAGAATCAACCATTGAAAACCTACAGAGCAGGTTCTGTTCTGTCACACATGGGATCACCATGAGTTGGAGTTGCTTCAATGGCAACGGTTTGTTTTTTCTTTTTGGTGGGAAAATAGAAATGGAGAGTCCTGGGACATTCCGCAGCCTTCCCAGGGGACACAGCACTGCAGTGGAGTGGTGCTGCAGAGTCAGCGCGGTGGCCAAGAGAATGCTGATCTGTTGACTCGCCAGGGTTTTATTGCCCATTCTGGTCAGAGGGTGGGGGCAGAGGGTGGGGGCGAACATAGAACGAGGCTGCAGTGTGTGTCACTTGCTGCTGCTTGCGGGATCCCTGGAGCCAGGACCTGTATGTGTGCAGGGCTCCTTGGTTATCTGCTAGGCCAGCAGCTAGAGCCCAAGTCTGTTTAGACTTTGTGGACTTGTAGGCTCAAGCAAGCCAGGCTGAACCCCTGTTCTCTCTCCTCATGCTTTTCCCACTGATCTTCCTGTTCCTCAGGCCCCCTTACACAGTTTCTGTGAGCCTCGGGACTTACCCAGTCTCAGTGGCAGTAGTTATTGGTAGTGGGTCTGCTGCCCCTACAGACTGAGGACAGGAACCTTATCCACCTCACATGTGTCCTCATGCCCAGCACAAGGATGAGCACAAATGGGGCCTTCCTCAGAGAATTAACTGAATGAGGGAGGCAAAACAGCATCTAAAATACCGCAGCAGCCACAGGACAGCAGGAATTCATAGGAAGGTAGGTTCAAACCACCAACCTTACAGTTAGTAGCCCAGCACTTAACCTTTGTGCCATCTGAGGAGCTCTGGTGGTGTAATGGATAAGGCATTTGGCTGCTAACCAGAAGTTCAGTGGTTCAAACCCACCAGTTGCTCTGCAGAAGGAAGATGGGATGATCTACTTTGGTAAAGATTTACAGCCTGGGGAACCCAATGGGGGTTGCTATGAGTCAGAAACGACTCAATGGCAGTGAGTTTGGTTTGTTTTTTTAAGGACTCCTTAGGAAGTTAAAGCCTCTGGAAAATCTTTGGGAAGAGGTGGGACTGGGATAGGATTGAAAAGCATGAGCAGGATCTAGATAAGGGAGGGAAAGGAACAGGCAATTCTGGAGTGGGCAATGGTGTGGTCAGGCAGTTAATGGGCATCACTAGTCAGGATGTGCACAAGCCCCACATATTTGATGATTGGTTGTAGGGAGAGCTAGCATTTATTAAACACTCAGTACAGACATACCTCAGAGACATTGCAGGTTTGGTTCCAGACCACTGCAATAATGTGAATATCACAATAAGGCAAATCACACAAACTTTTTGATTTCCCACTGCATGTAAAAGTTATGTTTATGCTATACTATAGTCTGTTAAGTATGCAATAGCATTATGAAAAAGTTTGAAATATTATGAGAATTACCAAAATGTGACACAGAGACATGAAGTGAGCACATGCTGTTGGAAAAATGATGCCAACAGACCTGCTTGACATGGAGTGGCCACAAACCTTCAATTTGTAAAAAAAAAAAAGCAGTATCTGCGGCACGTGATAAGGTGATGCGCGGTAAAATGGGGTCTGCCTGCTGGTGACTGAGTGCTCATTGTTGAGTGCTTTGTGGGGGACTTGCTTCCACCCCATTAATTTCTGAGTCTCCACATGAGGATAGATCTGTTGTCATCCCCATTATCAGGTGAAGAAGCTGGGACTTATTGGGTTACATAACCTGCCCAGAATCACACAGCTGATAAGAGCCAGAGACACTATGGCGAACCTGGCTATCTGGGTCCAGAGCCTGCTTTCATAACCACATATGGTTGTCTTCCTCATACTTCCAGTTCACCAGACTCTCACAGGCCCAGTGGCTCAGCAGATCCTTCTAACCATTCTAGAGGTTGTGGTCCACCTCTGATGGTGAGGAGGGAGGCTCAGCCTGAGCCACATGTTTGAATCGCTCACCTCAGGTGTGGGCATCCCTGAGGCCTGGTTGCTTGCCACTGTACCTACCATAACCAAATGCATTACTCTCTGTAATCACTGCAGCAGTGGTTGCAGCTCTTAGTCACCCAACAGGTGCCAGGTACTTGGTGTCTGTTATCTACTGACTCCTCGCAGAAGCTGTAAATGTGGACATATTGTCTGAAGTATGTCTGAGACTCAGCAAGGTCACAGCCCATAAGTGTCAGAAGTAGAACTCGAATTCAGGTCTGTAGGACTCCAGAGTCAATGTACATGAACCACTCTCTATCACAACTTAGCACAGGCAGTTTTTCCAGAGCTGCTTCCAAAGTGATTCCCTATAAAGAGAACTTTGGAGACCCAGCCCTGATCCAAGTCAAGGCCATGGGGTTGCTGGGATATGGCACCCCTAGCATCTTCTTCAATGGGCCTGAGACCATCTCTCTTCCACTCCCTGCTGCACCAGGGGACCATGCTAGGGAGTGGTGTCCTGCAGGTGGCAGCAGTAATGTGAGCTCTGGGGAGGGTGCAAACATCAGGAACAGGTCTCAGAGGGTCCTGGCAACAGCTACAGCTCCATTTGCCGATGTCTCCTTTGTGCCAGGCTTTGGGCTGGGCCTACGCCCAGGCACAGAGAGTTGTTCATTGGTCTGTGTGACAGACACACTGATGTATTTACAGCCCAATGCATGCTAAGGGAGCAGTTTATTTCTTTGTTCATTTATTGAAATTTTTATTATGATTTGGGTGAAAGTTTACAGAACAAACTCATTTTCCACCCAGCAGCTTATACACATTTTGTTTCATGATGTTGACTTCAGTTCTCCACAATGTAACAGCTCTCTTTCCATTTTCTTCCTGTGGTTACCTCTTCCCTGTGTCCTTCTCTCCCATGCATTCCCACCCCCTGAGCTATCTCCTTGTGCAAACACTGACCTTCTGTTCTTCCACAATTGATTGCTCCAAGGAGTATATCTATGTAAAATTCCTAAGGGAGCAGTTTATACAAAGCCCTGATGGATCATAGTAGTGGAGAGCCCTGGGCCACCTCAGAGTCTTCCCAGGGGACACAGCACTGGAGCTGGTTGTTGGAGCAGAAGGAAGCACTGATTGCACAAGAGAGGGGAAGGGCATTTGAGGCAGAAGGAACAGCATGTGGAAAGGCCTGGAGGGATGGACTATTAAATAGTTGTGTATGATGGGTTGAGTGGCTGGGGAGTTGAATAAGAGGCAGGGACCAAGTCTTAAAGATCTAGAATAGAAAGCTGAAGAGCTGGAACAAACCTTGCTAATGCTGGAAGCCCCCCAGTACCTGGCTCAACTCCTGGCCGCTACCATGGCTGCTGGACGAGAGAAAGGGCCTCCCAGAACTGCCTGGCTAGGCCAGGCCCTTCAAGTGAGTGCTCTTCTTGGGCCTCATTTTCCCCTTCTGTGAAATGGAAGTACAGATTCCTCAAGGCTGGCTTACCAAGGGTTGGGGAAGCTTTTTCAGACCTGCCTGAGGACAGGTCTCCTCACACCCCACTCCCAGGGCAGCCCTGATGGGAGTGGGGAGAGGGTAGACCATCTGTATATAAGCAGGGTGCCCAGGACAGAGCCCAGTGCTGCCCTGTGCCTGGGAGGGCTACGTGATGACTTTTATGATCACCAGCCCCTGTAGCCCCTGTGCCTACCAGTGGGGCTGACTCAACCCCTCCTGCAGGCATCATGGCCCAGAGCAGGGCGCTGCTGTTCCTGCTGCTGCTGCCCCCGCAACTGCAGCTGGGACTAGTGCTCGCAGTGAGGGCCCCTGCGTCAGGCCGAACCAACACTCACAGCCTGAGCCCCGAGGAGAACGAGTTCATGGAGGGGCCGGTGCTGGTCCTGAGCCCTGAGGAACCAGGGCCCGGCCAGGCCACAGTTGACTGCCCCCGTGACTGCGCCTGCTCCCAGGAGGGTGTCGTGGACTGTGGTGGCATTGACCTGCGCGAGTTCCCAGGGGACCTGCCAGAGCACACCAACCACCTGTCCCTGCAGGTGAGGCCGGCACTACACCTATGGTCACCAGGGGCTCATGGCTCCCAACCCAAACCTCACGCTTACAGGTCCTACTCTCCCAGTAGTTTTCATATTCATAGCTCCCTGCCTGCCCAGACCCCTACACTCGTGGCTCCCCACCCCCTGATATAGGGTGCTGGGGCAGCTCAGGCACGTGGAGTCCTGGCTCCACTCATGTGGCCTCCCCTCCTGATTTCCTACCTTGGAGCACCGGGATAGTACCACTTGCTTGGTTTCACAGACCCACCCAGCAGCTAACCCTCTGAACCCTAAGGCAGGATGGGGAAAATAAAAGCAAAGCGGACCCTGGCTGGAGTATTCTAGGATTACGGAGGACAGCATGCTCCCCAGCTGGGGATCTGGGAATCTGAATAGGCCTGGAGTCAGGATTTTGCCCCCTCGAGAAGTGAAACGGAACGGTGGGAGCTGGTGCAGCCATGGTGTCCAGCCCAGTGGCCCCGGAGGAGAGTCATACCAATTTCCAGAGGAGAATCAGGTCCAGTGTTCCTCCCTGGTCACATAACATTGGCTCTGGGTTGGTAGTGGTGGGAGCCCAAGTCTGGTGTAGCCAATGAAGATAAGGGACCAGTTGAAGACAGCACTCTTCGCTGTTCATTCCTTCATAAAATATTTCCTGGGTACCTACTGCACATCTCTGGTCTTGTGTGGGGTGGTGGGATTAAGGAGGATTCGGCCATGCATGCCCTGCCTTCGAGGGGCTCACAGGCTGTGAAGGAGCAGAGGCATAAACAGATAGCTATAACCCAGAAGTGACAGGAGGAGGCAGAGAGGGCTGTGAGCCTAGAACAGGTTTCTAAGTCAGGCCCAATCCAACCCAGGAAGGTTTCTGGAGGAGGTGGTACCTGACCCAGGCTATAAACATTTCCAAGGGGAGTTGAGACAGCAGGACTGAGAAAGGGAGTCAAAGTAGTTTCTGGCCTGAGCATAGGGGACAGGCTGGGGACACTGGTCATCAAGTGGCAGCACAGCAGGAAACAGGCCTGGAGGGAAGACAGCAGCATCAGCTGTGGGCACACCAAGTTTGGATTCTGCCTGTGGACACCAAGGTGTTGGCCTTCTGGAGATGGGCTTACAGCGCCAGAGCTGGCACCCAGGGTCTGTCTGCCACGGGGAGAATCCCAGGGGTGGTGCCCAGCAGAGGGCCTGCCTCCTAGGACTTTGGCCTCAGGGTGAGGGTGGGCGTCTCTGGGGGGCACGAGCCCTAGGCACCCCTCAGGCTGATGCTGCCTCATCACACCCCCCACCACCACTCTCAGAACAACCAGCTGGAGAAGATCTACCCCGAGGAGCTCTCTCGGCTGCACCTGCTGGAGACTCTGAACCTCCAGAACAACCGTCTGACTTCCCGAGGTGAGGCGTCACCCAGAGCCCTGGGACAGGGACACCGAAGGAGGGACTTAGGGGCCTGGTGGAGCTGAGTCTCCCCAGGTAGAGGTTGGCCTGCAGATCCTGGGTGTGGGGAAGAGCAGGGGCTGGGAGGGGGCTGGGCGAGGACAGGATCCACTTAGGACAGGGGCTTCCTGCGGTGGCCTACAGGCCTCCCCTGGGTGTCCCTGCCTTACGTGTCCCTCAGGCCTGAGACTTGGGAGTTGAGTCAGGAGAGAGGCCTCAGCGAAGCGTAGATCCCAGGACCCTTGTCATAGAATCGTCAACTCACAGAAGGCCTTTAGGACCAAAGAATTGCAGAGTCCTTGAAGTTTCCTAAGTTTATTTTTCTGATAAAAATGTTATAGTAGTATGATAGAAAATTTGGAAATGTAGAAAAGAAAATAGAAAGAAAAAAATCACTCATAATTGGAAGGAAGCTTTCTTTGTTGATTACCAGGGGTAAGAGGGGAGAGGAGGGAACATTGTAAAAAAGAAAAAAAAAAATCACTCATAATTCTACCACTTGGAGTTAATTACTACTGACATTGTGGTATCCTTCATCTTCTTCCATTTAAAACAACAACAACAAAACAGCTTTATCAAAATCTTATTTATATACCACAAAATATATCCAGTGTAAAGGTATGAATTGATTTTATAAATCTATGCAGCTGTGCAGTCATCCACAATCCAATCCAGTTTCTTTTCCTTTGTGTTTGACAATACATAGCTGAATGCGTACTATAAGTATGATAACCTGCTTTGTTTCACCTCAGTGTTTCTCATATTGCTAAAAACTCTCCATAACTATCATTTTACACAGGGCAGCAGGGTGTCCGTAGAGAGGATGCTCCACGGTTTATATAACTGTTCCCTCTTGTTAGATACTTGGGTGAGGCCCAGTATCTGAGGGTCTTGGAGCCAGGAACTGAGTGTCAGAGGCTGACCTCCAAGCTGGAGGAGGGCCAACCTGGCTGAGCTCCCAGCCACAGCTGGGTCCTGACACGACATCTGCTGGGTGGGACAGGGGCATTCCAGGTGTCCAGCAAGCTCACGGCCAGAAGCTCAACCCCACCTGCCTGTGGGGCTGAGTAGGAAGCTCCGACTTCCCCAGCGGGAAGTGCTACTTCCTGTTAAGGAAGGGTTTGGCTGGGTCCCCTGCCCTGTGCCTTGACCTTCCTGGAATCCAGCCTCAACTTGGGCTACCTTGAGCAGGATGGAACGTCAGGCAGTCACTCAACAAACACTTACTGCCTCTACCTCTGAGCTTTGGCCCACAGGGAAAAGGGAAAGAAAATTGGGCTAGGCAGGCCTGTTGGAACTAATGCGGAAGGGATTGGACAAAAGCCTCAGGGAGACAGCTCCCAGTCCTGGCAAGGGGGTGGGCAAAGGGGAGGGTGTCTGGTGCCCGGCGTGCTCCCCTGTAGCGTCTCCTTCATCCAGGGCTCTGACTGATGCCTGTCCTTTGAAGGGCTCCCGGAGGAGGCGTTTGAGCACCTGACCAACCTCAATTACCTGTACCTGGCCAATAACAAGGTGAGGGGTCCGGGCAGGGCAGGAGTGTGCTGCCCTGTCCCCCTGGTCTTCTGTTTAGCTGAGTTCAATGAACTTCACCGTGCTTCTTCTGGGCTGGCTGCTGGGTTGCCATTGCTGCTCAGACACGGCCCTGCAGGGACAGACATAGAACCCTTACCTGCCCTGAGCAGGGTGTGGTCGAATAATGAAGATAGAGGCCAAGGCCACAGGAGTGTAGGGGAGAGACAGCTCATCTCCGCTGGGGAGGGAGCACTTGAAGGGCTTCGTGGAGGAGATGGTATTGAGCAGGGCCATGAAGAGTAATCAGGTTTTAACCAGTGGCCCCAAGGAAGAGGGTACTACAATATAGTGTACAGCATGAGTGAAGGCACAAAGACACTCAACCTCAAAATATTGGACATGTCACAGGGCTCCATCTTGTCCCCTTCTGCTTCTGGCCTCATTTGAGGCGACCATCCTTCCCCTGGGCTTGAACTCCCATCTCTACATCAAGGCCATGTCCAAATGTCAATCTTCAGCCCTTCTCATGCCTCAGGACTTACAATTCAGAGATCCACCTGCCTACTTAACATCTCTTCTGAGATGTCCAGTGGAGGTAGGGCTACAGATTCCTGCTCACAGCTCCCAAACCTAATCCTCCTGCTGTCTCCTCCCTTCTGTCAACGGCATCACCAACCACCTGCAGCACCCCTAGCCCAAGCAAAAAATCTGGGGGTGCTTCTGGATTCTGTGCTTTTCTCCGCCTTCCAGTCCCACGGCAAGTCTCTCCTCTCCTGGTCATGACCAGCTGCCATCGAGTCGATTCCGACTCACGCTGACCCGACGTGTGTCAGGGTAGAACTGTGCTCTGTAGGGTTCTCGGGGCGGATTATTCAGAAGCATGTCACCAGCCCTTTTTCCTGAGGAGCCTCTGGGTGGACTTGACCTGCTATCCTTTTGCTCAAGTAGCTCAGACTATTAAGCATGTATTTGTACCACCCAGGGGTTCTGAATGACCATTCCAAAATTAGTCCCTCCTTCTCCTACCTTCTGTCCTTCCCTCCAGTGGCTTCCCCTGCCATTCAGAGTGAAATCTATGCTTCTATCCATGACCCATGAGGCCCTGTGGCATCTGGCCCCACCTGACTCTCTTAACTCTTCTCCTCTCTTCCCTCCTTCGCACTTGGCTCCAGCCACCCCCGACTCCCCAGACTTACCTATGCTGGGGGGCTGTGCGCTTGTTCTCCTGCTACCTTGGATGCACTTCCCTCTGACCTTTGTTTGGCGTCTTCTTCCTGCCATTAATGGTGCCATGATGGCTTAAACATCACCTCCCTGACCACCCAACCCAGTCATTCTCTGTGTTCAGCCTGTTTTAATTCTCTGCACAACAGTTATCACTGTCGATCCTTTTATTCTTTGTGCATTGTCTTCTCCACCAAGATGTAAGCTGCGGGGGAGGCAGGAACTTCTCTGCCTTGTTGCCCGGACTATATTCAGTAGCTGGACCCGTGCCTGGCATGTTGTAGCACTCAGTGATGAATGTTGAATGGATGATGAGTAGACGTTGTGGGATGTGCTTGGGGATGTGTGGATGGCTCACTGTGACTGGACAGAAGGGTCAGTGTAGGGGAGCAATGAGGGAAGAGACCAAGAGGACACACAGGAGCAGGGGAGAGGCCTCAGAGGGCTTTGAATGCCAAGTCAAAGACTGTGAGAGCCATCAGGTTTTGTTCTTGTTTCATCAGCGAAACAGGAGAGATGGCCCCAGGTGCAGGGAGGAAACAAATCAAAGGGCCCAGATGAGCATCAGGCAGCCTGTGGCACCCAAGTCCCCCTCTGCCCCTACATTTGTCCTTCTGACTCTTCCCTTTCCAGCTGACCTTGGCACCCCGATTCCTGCCCAACACTCTGATCAGTGTGGACTTTGCTGCCAACTATCTCACCAAAATCTACGGGCTCACCTTTGGCCAGAAGCCAAACTTGAGGTCAGAGGTTAAAGGGGGTGGCCCTGGGCTTAGCCTGGGGGAGGTGCCATGGCGGAAGTTGCCCATTCTGTGTTAGGCATGAAGAGGACGCAGACAGGCCCTGGAGGAGGGGCTTGCTGTGTAGTGAGAGACGTCCCTGTGCTCAGGGCTCTGGTGGAGGGAAACCTAGAAGGCTCCCTGAGCTTCCTGAACTAAGACCTGAGTGTGATGAGGAATTGGTCCAGGAGATGAGGACAGAGGCTGTTACCTACAGAAATTGTGGGGATCTGGCAGGGAGTTTCCCTTTTTTCCAACCCCTAGGGGTAGGAAGATCCGACAGAACTGCCTATCCCTGGAAACTGCCTTGTGGGGAGTGAGCGCCCTGTAGCACAGGTGTGTGAGCAGGGCAGCGTGGCCCTCGGTGGGCCACCAAAACTCTGCTGCAGAGTCTCTCTCCTGGAACGCTTGTATAACCCGGTGCTGCTTCTGTCCCTAAATCTATCATTTCACTCAACTCCCTCCATCCCCCAAAGAGCCAGGGTCACTGTGCGTGTCCTCATCCCACAGTTGAGAAGGCTGAGGTCCAAGAGGGGCCACACAGCAAGAGTGAGCTGTATCTTTTATATGTTTGTCTTCTTCCTTGGATTTTCTCTTTCTAATAGGTCAGCTCCAGGTGGGTGGGTGTCTTGCTGGTGTGTCCACTGCTATGTCCTGAGTCTAGAACAGTCCTGGTACAAAATGGTCTCTATATATTTGTTGAGTGAATGAGGGGTCACTCTCTCTAGCCCAGGCTCTTTGCTGGGCATGGGGGACACAGAGGTGGGTAGAGACAGGCCTCGTCCTTAGGAAGTCCCACAGAACTCAGAACCAGGCTGTGTGGGGTTGACAGAGCTGAGAAAGAGGCAAGGACTTCATGGCTGGGATAGGCAGGGGAGAGAACTGGAGGGTGTGGAAGAGGACAGACTGGGGGTTAGGGAATCTGAGTCCTATTTCTTCCATTAACTTGCTGGGGGGCCTCTGGTGGGTCACTGCTTCTAGTCCTTGGTTCCTTCTGCTAGGGAGGGGTCTGAGGCTCTTCTAACCCTGCACTTTAGGGCTTGCATGGGCTGAGGAAGGCACTCTATGCACTGGCCTGAGCAAGGGTTTGGAGGCTCACCAGGTGAACTGGCGTAGAGCTGGGTGAAGCCCGGATGGGGATGAGAGCCTGTGCCTCTTCCCCAGGTCCGTGTACCTGCACAACAACAAGCTGGCGGATGCCGGGCTGCCAGACAACATGTTTAATGGCTCCAGCAATGTCGAGATCCTCATCCTATCCAGCAACTTCCTGCGCCACGTGCCCAAACACCTGCCGCCTGCCCTCTACAAGCTGCACCTCAAGGTGGGGAGGGAAAAGAGAAGACCCCCACGGCCAGGGATCTGCAGTGGGGGAAGAGCCCAGGCCCACGTGGGCACACACCAGAGGGAAGAGTCCACTAGGGGAGAAGCAGGCAAAGCCTGGGCCCTGGCCTTCAGTGTGGGTTATGTGTGGGGCCACCAACACCACATTCAATATGCTCCAGGCCTGGGCACCCTCCCTGAGCTCCTCCAGACCCCCCTCCTTATCCTGAGGCCTGCCCTTGCCCTCAGCTCTCCCTCAAGCTCCTTCCCCACCCTGCAGAACAACAAGCTAGAGAAGATCCCACCAGGTGCCTTCAGTGAGCTTAGCAACCTGCGTGAGCTGTACCTGCAGAACAACTACCTGACTGATGAGGGCCTGGATAATGAGACCTTCTGGTGAGCCTGCACCCCACCAAGCCTGCAGTCTGACTGCTGCACCCCAGGAAGCTCCTCCCAGACCATCCCCCAGCCAGGCCTTCACACATATCCTCACCCACCTTCCTCTAGCAAATTTCCCTGGAGAAAGAACTCTGAGGACTGTGCTTTGGTTGACATTTTTGTCCCCAAGTACAGGTGATGCTGATAGGTACAACCTGTCAGGTTTCCAACACAGCAAGGAAGCATTTGCAGAAACCAGCCTCCTGGTACAAAATACATTGTCAAGCTTTCTTGTTGATAACAAATACATTTTTATTTGAAAGGATCCAGGGACAGTCTTAAACAATTGGTCTTCAAAAAAACTCCTATGTGCCAAAAACTGTTAGAATCATCCAAAATCAATATATCAGTCTTATGATTATCACCAAATGATAAGACTGAGGTTCAAAGAGGACCCCCAGTCGGTGAATGGCAGAGCTGGGATGAATTAAGGCAGTTTCCATAGGACGTCTATTGGGAACAAGGGTGGAAACAGGTGCAATGTGAGTTCCTGCCAATCATTCTAATTCCCTCCCTCCCCCAGGAAGCTCTCCAGCCTAGAGTATCTGGATCTGTCCAGCAACAACCTGTCGCGCGTCCCAGCGGGGCTGCCACGCAGTCTGGTGCTGCTGCACCTCGAGAAGAACGCCATCCGAAGAGTGGACGCGGACGTGCTGACCCCCATCCGCAGCCTTGAGTACCTGCTGCTGCACAGCAACCGGCTGCAGGCGCACGGCATACACCCGCTGGCCTTCCAGGGCCTCAAGAAGCTGCACACGGTGCACCTGTACAACAACGCGCTGGAGCGCGTGCCCAGCAGCCTGCCCCGCCGCGTGCGCACCCTCATGATCTTGCACAACCAGATCACGGGTATCGGCCGCAACGATTTCGCCACCACCTACTTCCTGGAGGAGCTCAACCTCAGCTACAACCGCATCACCAGCCCGCAAGTGCATCGTGACGCCTTCCGCAAGCTGCGTCTCCTGCGCTCTCTAGACCTGTCTGGGAACCGGCTGCAAACGCTGCCGCCGGGCCTGCCCCGCAATGTGCAAGTGCTGAAGGTCAAGCGCAATGAGCTGGTCGCCCTGGCGCGAGGGTCGCTGGCCGGCATGGCCAAGCTGTGTGAGCTCTACCTCACCGGAAACCGGCTGCGCAGCCGGGCCTTGAACCCGCGTGCTTGGGCAGACCTCACTGGCCTGCAGGTATGGGGAGGGGAGAGGAGTGGGCCGTGTGGCTGCTGGGTACTACTGCTATGGCTGCCCCGAGCCCACCCATATGCTGGGAGAGAGGTGGGCCAGAGGGCTGGGTCATGAGGAGAGTTCCACTGGTATGGTCAGGCTGAGCTCAAGGACCTGTAAGTACCGGCTGAGAACTAGGGCTTCTCAGGGTAGGAGGATGCCAAACGATATAGGGGATATGGCTGGCATTGTCTGGGTCAGCCCAGACTCCCTCAGATACAAAGGTGAAAGGCCTGATAGGAGAGGGCTATGGGCAGAGTACAGCCAAGATGGCCAGGCTGAGTTCACCGCCTGCAGGAATAGGTGTAAGGAGGACTGGAGGGCAAAGGTGGAGGTGATGGGCCATGGTTCAAGAGGATTGGGGATGGGTGTATGACACAGTTCAGGTGGCACAGGGATGTGAAGCTCACCCACCTGCAGGTGCAGGAATGGAAGCTTGGAGAAGGCCATGTGGCTGGGCCAACCTCACAGCCTGCAGAAGACTAGAGAGAAGTGAGGATTCTATTCCAGGCATTCTGGGTATGGTCAGAGCATATCGCTATGGTGGCCATGGTCAGAGTCGGGCAAGGATGTCCAGGCATATGAACCTAGCCAAGCCTCAGGTGCAGACTGATGGTTAAAAGTGAAACCACCCAACTCAATCAATCTGGATCCTTTCACTAGAGAAACCTGGGAGGGAGGGCCAAGGTGCTGCAGATCAGGGATAGAGGTATGAGGACCCTCTCCTGGTGGTAGCTGACTTGCCCCCCCCCCTCTCCTGCCCTACAGTAGCCCCAGTGCCCAGCTTTCACCAGCAGACCCATGGTAAGAGGCTCCCAGGGCATGGTTGACTCAGGACCTCTGCATGACTGTCCCCTCTTCCCCCAGCTGTCCTCAAGGCTCTTGCTTCTCCCTCCTTCATGGGGCTCTGCTCAAATGTCATTTCCTTGGGGCCACCTTCCCTCACCACCCCATCACCTTCCTCTGCTTTGTTTTATTTTCATCCTTCCTGGGCGTTAGGTCATCTATTGGTTTGTTGTCTGCCCCTCCTGCTAATGGTAGTGGTTGTAGTGTATTCACTGTTGGACCCAGCACCCTCCGCATGGTAGGCTCAAAGTGAAAGCTTTGCTGGAGGGATGATTGAATGAATGCATGGAAGGGGGAGCTGGCAGGACTGGAATGTCACCTGCAGGGGAGGGAGGCAAAGGGGTGGGGAGGAAGATCATAGTTTTAAGGCTGGAGCCCATTCCTGCAGGAGCAGTAGGCTTAGCCTCATTCACTCACTCAGATCTCCCTACTGAATGCCAGACAGCAGTGTCCAATCACCTCTACCATTCTCACCATTCTCCAGTAAACCAGTTGCCATTGAATCAACTCAACCCATGTGTGTCACAGTAGAACTGTGCTCCATAAATAGCTGATTTTTTGAAAGTAGATCACCAGGCCTTTCTTCTGAAGCACCTTTGGGTGGACTCAAACTTCCAACCTGTCAGTTAGCAGCCTACTACATTTATACCCAGGAGCTCCTGCCCATTCTCAAGGGGCCCCAAACCCCATTGTCTTCTCCTCCACATCTGCTCCTCCTGCTGCATTGAAGGAGGAGATATCCACCCAGGTGCCCACAGGAAACCTGAGAGCTGTCCTCCAAGTCTCCTCTTTCCCGTACCATTACCCTCCCCCAACAGTCCATCATTACCAAACCCTGTCACCTCTACCATCGCATCTCTCAATTGTCCGCTTCTCTCCATCCCTGCTGCCTGCACCTGAGGCTTGGCTACTCTCATTTCTTGTCTGGACCTCAGCTTCCTAGCAACTTCCCACTCCTAGGAGCTCTCCACTCCTGCACTCCCTGTACAGTCAGAACTATTTTAAAAAGTATGTGTCCATCTCAGGCTACTGCACCAAACCCTTCATGGCTCCCCACTGTCTTTAGGACACAGGCCAGAGTCCTTGCCATGCCTTCAACTCTGCCCCCTCCATCCACCAAGCAAGCTTCATACAGTTTCCCACACACTGGGCTTTGTACATTCTGGCCCCTCTGCTGGAAACATCTCTCCCTCTTTCTTCACTGCTGATGCCTACTCATTCATTCATTCCACACATCTGTACTGAGCCCCCACCTTGTGCTGGACACAACTCTAGAACTGGGGACTCAGTAGGAACAAGAAAAGTCACTCCCCTCCTGGAGCTTAGACTTAGGACTCAGCTCAGTGTCCTCCTCTGGGGATCCCCTTCCCCTCAATGGTGGTGATGGGTTAACTGCCTGCCTGGGCTTGGGTGAGCTGGTCGGGGATGAGGTGAAGGAGTGCTGGATCACACTGCTGGATCTTTCTACAGATGCCCCTGCTCCTAGCCCCCACCTGCTCTTGCTGCCTTCTATTTAGGTGTCTCCTCTCCTGGGAAGCTTTCCCTCCCTCTCAGGCTGGGGTTCCCCCATCCCAGGCTTCCTCATCAGCTTGTCATGGGCAGATCTATCTCCCCCAGTAGTCTGGCTTTCTGAGGGTAGAGGCATGTCTCAGTGACTCCCATGGCCCCTAAGCCCACTCATGGGCACTACAATGTTTGGAATGAATGTTGAAGTGCTAACATAGAGGGCACAAGTGCTATGTGAACACAATGGGAAGCAGGGGCCCTGCTGGAAAGGGGAGATGACAAGGGACCTTCCCAGGGAAGGTGAACCCTGAGCTCCCCTTGGATTCTGACACCAAACCAACAGACTCTCTGGGTTCATGGGCCCTTTCTCTGACCCTGAACCCAGACTGTCAGGGTGAGGAAGGAGACTTAGAGAGCATGGAGCCTGCCCTGTGGCCACACAGGGGTGTTTGTGTATGTGAGTGTGTGTATGTGTGTGTGTGTGTGTGTGTGTGTGTGTGTGTGTGGTGGTAGTGGGTATGGACAGCTGGAGGGGCCATGAAGTTGGCAGCTTGATGCACTGTCCAGGTGTCCTGCCTATTGCAGCGTTTTTTCTGCTCCCTGGAATCTCATCCCCATTTCCCTGACCACCTGACTCCTGGGTGCTAAGCATGTGGTAACTGTGGGACTGACCATCCTGGGTCCTGGTTGCCATGACAGGGTCACTGCGAACTCACACCCTCACTGCCCGGCCCCTAGCACCCCACTCTGGTCTCTGCCTACATGACCCTGAGTTCCTTCTGTAAGCAGCCCCACCCATGTGGTCCTCCCACCCCTACCCTCATTCAGGGCCAGTAGGGTGAAAGTCAAAGTCTGGAGAATCCCTGGTCTCTGCCCATCTGGGGTCTTTAGTCTGATGGAGGTAACAGATGTGTTATGGAGGCAAAACATCCAAACATCATGGGTGTAAATTTATGTCCAAAGGCAAGAGAGGCTGTATAGGACACATGGCAATTAGGAGCAAGAGTTTAGAGTCACATGCACTGGGTGCCAGTCTTTTATAGGCTCTGTGACCTTGGACAAATCACTTAACCTCTCTGAACCTATTTCACCATCTGGAAAATGAAGATACTTATAGACCCCTCCTCACAGAGTCATCCTGAGATTTAGATAGTCTAGGGGTTGTTGGGAGCTTTGCAAGCTGTCAAGTGCTTTGCACAGGTGGGAGTCCCTGACTCCCCGGCCCCCTGGTCACCCCTACAGCTGCTGGACGTCGCTGGGAATCAACTCACAGAGATCCCTGAGGGGCTCCCTGAGTCACTCGAGTACCTGTACCTGCAGAACAACAAGATTAGCTCCGTACCTGCCAATGCCTTTGACTCCACACCCAACCTCAAAGGGATCTTTCTCAGGTAGGAGGTCCCCCCACCCTGTGGCCTTACACACACCTCCTAGGCTGGGGGCCTGGCTCCAGTGGAACAGTCAAGGTGCTGGGAAGATCTGATTGTACAGGCTAGTGTTTAAAGCCTGACTTCACTGTCGACTGGGTGTGTGAACCTAGATACGGCACAGACCACACTGAGCCTCCATTTTCTCGGCTCTTAAGGGTGGAAGGAGCCCTGGTGGCACAAATGGCTAAGCATTCAACTGCCAACCAAAAAGCTGGTGTTCAAACTCACCCAGAGGCACCTCAGAAGACAGGCTTGATGGTCACAGCCTTGCAAACCCTATAGAGTTGGACTTGACTCAGCAGCACCAAATAACAACTCAGGGGTGGAGGCAGTGCTGGCCAGGCCTGGTGAGGTTCAAAGGCCTCTAAAAGGCTTTGTAAACCTTAAAAAGTGGTGCATATGAGGATCATTGATGATACTGTGGCATGAAGAGACTCTAGAGAGTATCTTCCCAATTTATAGCTGGGAAAGCTTAGCCCCAGAGAGTGCAGGTGATTGGTAATGTCCTTGGCCAGCTGGGTTGGACCTGGGTCTCAGACCCAGGACAGCTAATGCCAGCCTGGTGCTGGGCCCTGGGGACAGAGGTTTAGAATGATTTTGGGGACCCAGTCTCCCTGAGCAGCTTCTATGCAGCAGAGTCAATTTGAGTCCTTTCAATACCCCCTTACTCTTGTCTGCTTTGAAAGGATCAAAGCCAGACCAGGGAGGAGGGTCGACAGAACAGACTGGTGCTGTTGAGGTGGAGTGGGTGGGTCCTGTGCCTCAGGCTCCTGCAGGGGAACTGAGGTGCCTCCCCACGCCCAGAGTGTGTCCCCAGCCTGGCCTGTGGCACCCTGCACCAGCACTGAGGTAACCCTCCAGCTGCCCAGCCTGGAGTCCCAGACCTTGGGGTTAATGCCAGATGGTAGGCAGAGGGAGGCTGTCCCGCTTACTAATGGGAATGTCAGCTGGAGCAGGACCAGCCAGTGCAGGCTGCTGTCCCCCGCCCAGAGTTGTTGTACTCCAAAGAGCTGGCACTCACCATGATGCACCTTACTTTCCAGACTCCAGCCTATTGCACTTGCTACCCCCTCTTCCCTCCCCTTTTACCTTCTGAGGTGGTAGAGTGGGGACTCTGAGGGTCTGCCTCCTATCAGTGACCCACACGTGGACGTCACACAGGTTCAACAAGCTGGCCGTGGGCTCTGTGGTGGAAAGCGCCTTCCGGAGGCTGAAGCACCTGCAGGTCTTGGACATTGAAGGCAACTTTGAATTTGGTGACGTTTCCAAGGACCGTGGCCGCTTGAAGGAGGAAGAGGAGGAAGAGGAAGAGGAGGAGGAAGAGGAGGAAGATGAAGCGAGATAGTGACAAGGTGAAATGGATCTGACCCAGGTGGGTGATCAGTGTAGGGGGATCTTTCTGGCTATTCCTCCCTCTCTGTGTCCTGCTTGGTCCATACATTCTAAAGACATATATGAGTACTTGGTATGTGCCAGACACTGGGTGAAGGGTGGGGTTATAGTTCAAGCCTATGGAGAGGCCACCTTGTGCCAGGCACTATAATCTGGTGAAGGGTGCCATCATGGTGGACAAGGAGAATGGTGGTGGTGGCCCATTAGGAGGTTTGCACTATATTGCAAGCCAGAGAGGATGGGTGGGGCATGATAGTGGAAATGGATAAGCAAATGGATGGGAAAGGGCCTTGGGGACAGACTCAACAGGCCAGACTCATCCTTCTGGGCACACAGCCACGTATATACATGCATATGCTCTGTGGCAATCACACGAGCAGAACACAGATGTATATGAGTACATGCACACACATGGCCTTACATGCACATGTATATGTGGATACCCATGCATACATGTACCTGCACAGTACACAAACTGCAGGGTAAGAGAGAGGACAAGGCCTGGTTTTCTAGCTTGGAATTCAGGGGGTTGGTAGTACTTGGTGGAGGAGAAGGTTTGGTGGGAAATTGTTGAGTTTGAGCATCTGAGGGCGTTGAGAAGCTGCCCAGAGATGACTGGGTATGTGGATCTGGGCTCAGGAGTGAGATCTGATCTGCAGATGAGGATCCAGACAACCCCAGCCTTGAAACAGTCCCAGATGCTGCAGGCTGTGGGATGGGCTTGCTCAGGGAGACGGGTGAGAGCCGGGGCGGTGGGGGGAGCCTTCAGTGGGAGCTGAGATGGAACAACTTGGAAAGGAGGCAGGAAAATCCCAGATAGTCAAGAGAGCGTTTACAAACATAAACATACACAACACAAGCATCCATCCATACATATAATACACAAGTGCACATACGTGCCTCTACACATACCCACATACATGCATACATGCACACGTGCAGAACACAGTGCCACACAGCCATATATACACACACATACACTCCGTGGCAATCACATGAGCATAACACATGTACATATGTGCTACACACACATGCACATACATGACCTTACATGCACATGTGTATGTGTATATCGGGAGCTCTGGTAGTGTAGTGCCTAAGGCACTTGACCGCTAACAAGAAGGCTGGCAGTTCAAACCCACCAGCCACTCTGAAGGAAGGTTGGGCAATCTACTTCTGTAGTAATACCACCTTGGAAACCCAACGAGGGGTTGCTGTGAGTCGGGTCCGACTCGACGACACATAACAACAGCACCAACATGTGTATACCCACATATACATATACCTGCACAATATACAGACATGAACATGCTTCTCCAGAAGTGGGGTGATCAACTGTGCCAGTGCTGCTGAGAGGCTGAGGGTGCTGAGCCTGGATTGACCCACAGGAAGGTTGTTGGAGGGAGCAGCATCGGGAGGTGATGGAGGCTGGGAAAGTGATTGGAAAGAAAGTGGATCCAGGGAGTGTAGACAACTGTTTCGAGAAGTTTAGCTGTGAAGCAATGAGAGAGAGGGTGGTAATGGGAAGGGAGTATGATGTGCAGGAAGGGCTCATTTCACCGAATGCTGTTGTTAGTGACTAGACCGATGCTAGTGGGAGGGGCCAGTAGGGAGGACGGCGTTGAAGATATAAGAGGGGAGAACTGGGTGTGAGAGATGCCTGTGGAATAGTAGGAGGGACTGGCAGCACAGGAGGACCAGTGCTTCCTCCGCTGTGGCAAGGAACGGAGGACCGAGTGGCTGCAGTCACAGGCACATGAGTAGCTCTGTGGAGGGACATGCCGTAAGCCTGACGCCACCAGCCTTCTGGTCACTCCATGCAGTGGGGGGTGTTCAACAGACCAGGGTGAGCATGAAGGTGGACAATTAGATCCATCCACAGTTGAGGTTTGGCCAGGTGTTGGGATAGAAGGGCAAGGAGACAAGATGTTGAGTGTATTGGCAAGAGAATGGCTGGTGTGGAGGGCCCTGGGGTCAGGCTGGGTAGGGAAGAAGATGCAGACAGGAGGGTTGGTAGACAGGGACACTGGAGAGAGGTTCTGGAGAAGGAGCACGATGGTGGCAAGTAGTCAGGAGGAGAGTAGGGTGGTCAGAGGATGAAATTGCAGAGGGAGTAGTGCTGGCGGGTCACAGGGCCAGGGCCTGGCTATAGGAGGGGATCTCTGGGCCACAATTAGGATGTTGAAGTTGGGCCTGAGGTGGGTGTTGAGGCCCACTGAGGATGATGGGGAAGGCTCTACACAGCACTGAGATCACCCTCATCTCCCTGTCCTGGAGCCTGGGGATGGGGAGGTAGACTCCTTCAGAGAGAGCCAAGGGTCCGTGCAGATGTGATTAGCCATTTTCAGTGAGGATGCTGCTGCCCTCTTGAGGGGGCTGCAGGGTCATGAGATGGGGGAGGGCAATGGTCATGGTCAGATCACTTGAGTGGTGCCCCAGGGAGTGACCACTGGGCCAAGCTGAGGCTCCTGGAGCAGAGGTCCCACCACACACACTGTTCCTGTCCATGTTTACCACCAGCACATCCCCACCGGAAGTCCTGCTGGCTGTGAGTCCCCAGGGCTTCCAGGGGGACCCCCTCCCCACCCACAGTAATCTGGCCTTCCTAGAGCCCCCTTAAGCGGGGGCCACCCTCCACTCTTACCCATCTCCCCCAGGCTGGTTGTGGGGTAGCTCTGCCCTGGGCTGCTGCTGACCAGCCTGTGTGTTCCGCAGGACAGCGGACTGCCGGATTCCCTTCTGCAGCCCACGCTTGTGCCCTGTGAGCCCTCCGTCTGCCTCGCTCACACGTGCCATCAGACACACCCACGCTGCACCTACAGGCGTCCATCAGATGCAGGCTGAATACAGTCTCACTTCCTCATCCCTTCCTGCAGTGTGCCCTAAACCCAGACACATGCAGATACCACATCCCACCCCCACACACTCAGCATGGCCACACACGCAGCCAGCTGCACATCACCTCCCAGTGGTCACACTCTCCTCCCCACAACCACCACAGCTGTCACACCCTCTGAGTCATGTGGGCTTAGGGAAAGGGTCTGACCCCACCCTGGTACACACAGGCACCCTCCCCCCTGGACACACACACACACACACACATACACACACAGAGTCATGTGCAAATAGCTCCTACAGCCTACTCTACCAACAGCTATTGACCCCAGCCAGAAATGGCCACAACGGCTCACCATCTGCCCTGCCCCCCTGGAGAAGACACAAGGCAATCACCGTGCTTTCTGTGGCCAGGTGCCTGCAGCCTTCTGGAGCTCACAAAAGCTGGCTTTTGTTCCTTTCCCTCCCCATGTGGATAGTCTGCTGCCTGGCCCCTCCCACCCTGCCTCTGCCCAGCTGCTGGGAGCCCACCCCTCCCCTGCCATGGTCTGGCAGGGCCTCAGGCACTCTCCAATGAGCAAGCCCCACACAAGGCCATACAGGAGAGCCTCTGGGAGCTGTCAGAGCCTCGTTGCAGGAGTGAGGCGGAGGCTGTGGAGCTGGGCCAGAAAGAGGCAAGAGGGGCCCAGCCATAGCCCACCCGATGCCATCTTCATTCTTTAGGCCTATGGGAAAGTTCTGGCTGTCTTTTGTTTTTTATTCTTTTTTTAAGAAAAAAATGATAAAAATCTCAAAGCTGATTTTTCTTGTTACAGAAAAATTAATATAAAAGCATTATCCCTGTCCTTGCAGCCTTTGGCCGTGTCTGTGCATGCTTCCCACCAGGTGCTGGGCTTCACGGGGCGGGCCAGGGAGGTGAAAAGCACCTCGGCTCCCTGTCCAGACCAGCAGGCATGTGTACAGAGTTCTGTCCTGGGGCCCAAAAAGTAGTTGCACAGGCTGAGGTGCAGGGAGACAGGGCCTAGTTGCAGATAAGGAGGCCTGGAGGTGTGTGCGGACCCCTGGCTCAGAGGGAATCATCAGGAGTCTGGGACCCCCACAGTGTGCCTGTGAGTTCACACTGTGTCCCCAGAGGCTGTGTCCAAGCCAGGAACTGCTGGGCATTGTGCAGCTCAGCCCCATCTGGAGGGCCATCTCTGCACTGAGGGGGCGTTTTTGCTGGGGTCTGTTCCACAGAAGATGTCTGGGGTAAGGCGGGGACTAGAGGCAGGGCTGGGAGCTGGAGCAGAGCTGTCTTGAGGGCCCAGGTCTCCATAGGGCTGCCTAGGGAAAAGGTAACAGATGTACCCAATGTGTCTACCACCCCGATAGGGGCAGCACTGGGACCAGTGGAGGATCTACAGGGAGGCAGCCTGAAAATCAGGGGAAGGAAGAGACTCTGACAAGCAGAGCTACCTCACAGGGGTTTGAGATGCCCAGGAAGGAGTGACCTCCCCCCTGTTGGAGGTGTGTAAGCATAGGGTAGTGGGCCTCCTGTCAAGCCTGATTAGGACCAGTTTCCTGCTTTGTGGTGGGGCAGACTCAGTTGCCTCAGAGGGATGTGGCACAGGGAAGAAGCCAATAAGCCAGTCCACACAAAGGTGGGAGTGACTCACAGCTTGGCGTCTGACCACTCCTGACCACTCCAAGGTGATCACTTCTAGGATATTCTGACTTAACTAAGGAAAGATATGCTAACGATGGGCCTCATACTTCCCAAACCCATGGGGGGAGGGAGGATCCTCAAGCTACAGCAGTCAGCAGCTTCTCCCTGGCAGTGCTGGCCACCTCACAGCCCTGAGAGGAAGATGATGTAGTTCAGGGGTAGGAGGCTGAGGGCAGGTGCTCTCCTGACTCTGAATGACCCTGGAGAGGCCTAACCCCTCCCTGGGCTCCATGGTGCTAGATCCTTCCAGACGGCAATGTGTGTCTTTTCCCCTAGGCCTATCAGAACAGGCTATGTGGCCAGGGCTATGCCCCCTGCAAGCCTCCTGGAGGAGCCCTGAGGGGTAGAAAGAATGAAGGGACAGTCTGGAAATGTCCCTGGGCACATCTTCTCCCTACAGCAAAGCATTTAGCAAAGGGAGCCAGACTGGCTGAGGAAATGTGCTATTCTTACAGGGACTGATCTCAGGACTCTATCTGCAGAGCAGAGCCCAGCCCAGGCTAGAATGGTCTGTCCACACTTGGGCCACCTGGATAAGGCCTGGCCATGCAGTGGCTGCTAAGATGGGCCCCCAAGCAGGCCTGTTTGCACTCTGGCCCCTCTGCACATGACAGCTCAGACAGGCCTGTCTTCATATCAGCCACCTGGACAGATTTATTTGCACCCTGGCTTTCCAGACAGGCCTGTCTACCCACTGATAGCCCAGACAGACCAACCTGTCCACACTCCAGCCACATGGACCAGCCCATTTTTATTCTGGACAGGCTGTGCAAACTCTGGCTGCCCCAGCCGGCCATCTGCACTCTGCCAGCCTGTATTAGCCAATAACAAGCTGCTGGCAGAGTATGGTCTCTACAAAAAGCCCACAGACTTTAGAAACAAAATACCTTTATTTAGTGTTCAGTAATTTGCAAACACAGGAAGAAATAGAAAACCTAACTCTGACTTGCCACACAGGCTTTGGGGAGTTCTGACACCAAGGCTCTGGTGGCACAGTGGTTAAAGCATTCGATTGCTAACCAAAAGGTCGGTGGTTTAAACCCACCAGCCCACTCCAAGGGACAAAGATGAGGCAGTCTGCTTCCATAAAGATTTACAGCCTTAAAAACACTACGGAGCAGTTCTGCTCTGCACTACAGGGTCGCTATGAGTTGGAATCGACTCAGTGGCAGTGGGAGGGACACCAAGGCTACACTGGCAGCTTGACCACAGTATTCCAGACCAGGTCTCCCTCTCTGGGTCCCATCTTGCCTGTCTGTCCAGTGGGAGGCTGGCCTGGATATTTATAAGGGCCATTCCAGCTCTAGTAAAAGCATCCCTGACTCCACATACAATGAGAATGGCAAGAGCCCACGTGGGCCATGGCACATGGAAGGCCTGTTCTGGGGGAAAGTTGTTTGGCTGAGGCCACGTGATGGGGCAGGGTAGGGGGGCCTGAGTGGGACCCCACTGGAGCAGAATTGTGATTATAAGTGACAGCAGTGGTGGATGTAGGGGCTCCTGGAGAAGGCAGAGCCTCTCCTGGCCCTGCAGATGCTCTGTCATCGTGGAGGGAATGGCCAGGGCATGAAAGATTTGAGTAGAGTCCTGGCCTGGACATTATTTGCTCTGAGACCTTGGGCCATTGTTTCCAGCTCTTGGAGCCTCAAGTCTATCACTGAGAAAATGGGGAGGATAATCCCTGCCTGCGCCTTGCAGCTAATGCCATGGAAACTGCAGCTTCCGATCATAGCTTTGGTTAGGCTAGGTAGGGCCCCATTACTCTCTGGCTGGGCATCCCACATGCGACCTTTCACCTCTCTGAAACTCCATGTTCTGTCAGGTGGGGCTGAATCTAGTCTCTAAGGGTACATGAGCCTGGCCCCTGTTGTCCGCTCAGAAAATGTTGGCAAGTTAGGATCAATCCCTTAACCCCGGAGGCCTCCCCTGGCCCCTGCAACCCTGGGGGCTCAGACATTGGTCTCAAGTTCACTGATCTCAATGGTGCAGTGGTCCAGACTGGTGGTGGTAGGCTCTTCATCCTGCTCCACTTGCACGGGGACATGGTGGGGGCAGGCTGGGCCCAAAGTCAGCTCTGAGGCCTCAGCCACACTCTTTACACAGCCATTCCGCTGGGTCGCCACAATCTCCTGGAGGCTCACTGGCTTGGTCTCGCATGGTGGCAGTTTCTGGAGAAGGGAAATGGGCCTTGGTAGCAGCAGGAAGGACTGAGGGTAGACACTAGGGAGGACTGAAAGTCAGTGGAACAGAACAAGCTCAGGGCTGGCAATCACGGACAGGTTTTCCTATAGACATGCTGTATGACCTTGGTAGATCACTGTGCCTCTTTGGGTTCCAGTTCCCAAGCTGTCCTGCCTCCTCCTGTGGCTACCTTGGTAGAGAAGGGGACATGACTTGCAGGGTCAAATGAGGGGATAGGGGGCTCACCTGCCTGAGCCTCAGCTTCCTTCTGCATGATGTAGGACAGCCTAGCACCGGTGCTTAGTGAAGCACAGTTGTTAAACATGAGAATGTCACACGGGGATGCCAGCTCCAGAAGGGCAGGAAGTTTTATCTTGCTACCTTCACCACAGTTCTTTCTGCGTCTAGATCAGGGCCAGCCATGATACCAAATACCAAAACCAAACCCACTGCCATCGAGTCGATTACAACTCATAGAGGCCCTATAAGACAGAGTAGAACTGCCCCATAGGGCTTCTAAGATTGTACATCTTCGCAGAAGCAGACTGCCACATCTTTCTCCCACGGAGTGGCTGGTGGGTTCGAAGAGCTGACCTCTTGTTTAGTGACCCAAAGCTTTAACCACAGTGCCACCAGAGCTCCTCCAGCCATGTTGTTGTTATTGTTTGCCGTCGAGTCGGACCCGACTCATAGTGACCCCTCCTTGGGTTCTGAGGCAGTATCACTACGGAAGTAGATTGCCCCATCTTCCTTCCGAGGAGTGGCTGATGGATTTGAACCTCCAGCCTTCTCGTTAGCAGTCAAGTGCCTTAGGCACTATGCTACCAGAGCTCCAGCCATGGTAGGCACTTAATAAATAAATGTTGGAGGGATTCATTGGTCAGTCCCATTTAACAGAGAGCCTGAGGCCCAGAGACCCAGAAGATCTGCTGCTCTGCTCCCCCCCACCCCTAGCTCCATCCTCCTGCCTTCTCACCACCGCTTGATAGGCCACTGCTCTCACCTCGGTGCCCTTGTCCTGAACAAAGTCCTTCCGGCAGATGTGGGCCATGATTCCTGCAGCCAGAGCATCACCCAACACGTTAATCATGGTGCGGAAACGGTCCCTGGCAGGCCAAGGTGATGGTGATTAATTGCTGGACACTTTAATATAAAGGGAGCTGGCAGAGGGCAATGCTCAACCCAAAGGAGCGAGGCCACTGCACCTGCGCCACAGGCTGTGACCAGCTGTCAGGGCAGAGACCGGTGGTGGTGAGGCGGTGCCCTGACACCACTCAAGCCCACCCCATGGTGCTACTGAAGCAGGCTGATGCAGGGTCAGCTTCACAGGTAGTGTCCCGTGTATAGAAGGGCCCACACTTACCTTAATGATCTGTTGCGACCATCTCGAAATTCTTCATACTTTTTGAACAAGGGGCCTTGCATTTTCATACTGAACACTGGGCCCCACAAATTACATAGCCAGTTCTGTGTCAACGTTGGGGCCCCTGGGGACCCTCCCACTGTGCCAAACTACAGCAGTGCCCCACCTCCTGCCCTAGGGAAGGAACTCAGCACCCCACCCCGCAGTGCCTGGTGGCTCAGAAGCCAGTCCCTTCCCTGAGGGGAAGGCGACCTCCACTCACAGAGCCCAGTCAACAGCGATGATGAGGGTGATGTCCTCAGTGGGCAGTCCCACAGAGGTGAGCACGATGACCATGGTGACGAGCCCAGCCTGAGGGATGCCAGCCGCCCCGATGCTGGCTGCAGTTGCTGTGATGCTGCAGGGGGTTGGAGGGGAGGAGAGAAGGAGGAAGACCCAGCACAGTGTCAAGGCCTGCCCTGGTCTAAGGAGGAGGCAGGAATTCCAGGGCCTCTGGGAGCAGCCAGATGGGGCAATGGGTTTGTTAGGGATGCCAACGTCCCTGCTCAAGTTCCCAAAGCTCCCACAGACCTCTATCCCTGGTCTCAGGAGAACTTCTTAAGGAATTTGTGGCAAATCCTCCTGTGTCTGGAGCTGCTGACTCTAGATTTCTAGGAAGCTGTACTTTCAGAACGTCATGGAAATTCTGGTTGTCCACTGGCTGAGCTCTGCCACAACCTCCCTCTGGGGCCTGGTCTACAAGGTCAAACTTGTGCCCACAGGCTGGCGTGTGACCTTCCCCTCAGCTTCTGCCTTCACCCTGTCCCCTCCCTTCAGCTCCAGTCACACCTCCAAGGTTCCTCCCTCTCTCTGGCCTTTGTTCACCCTGCCCACCTTCAATGCCCTCTCCCCACCACCTGTCCAAACTATAGGACCTCCTCCAGCTTTGCTTCCTGGAGCTCCCCCCACCTCAGCCTCTGCCTGCTCACAGGCTGCAAGGCAACACTGGGGAAAGAGGCCTGTGTCAGAAGTCATGGAGGCCAGGGTCCAGTTTTGCAGTCTCGCCCCTTGTGCTGATTTGCTGTGTGACCTGAGGTGAGTCCCTTGGCCTCTCTGGGCCTTAGAGACCCCATCAGGTTTGGGAGTCTCAGAATCCTGAAGGGACCTCCAGTTTCCCCTCATCCACATAGGATATGGGGTGCCAGCAGGGTGCACCTGATGGTGATGATCTGGCCGAAGTCCAGCTCATAGTTGTTGACCTGGGCAATGAATATGGCAGCCACAGCCTCATAGAGGGCAGTGCCGTCCATGTTGATGGTGGCGCCCACAGGCAGCACAAAGCGGGCGATGCGCCGGTCAATGTGGTTGTTCTCCAGCAGGCACTTGAAGGTGATGGGTAAGGTAGCTGAGCTGTGGGCAGAGGGAACAGTATCTGCCCATCATTTCCTCCAGGATGGGCTGGGCCTCTGGCTGCCCGCCTGGTGACAACAGGAAGTCCACCCCTCCCAGGCAGCCAGCCCATCACAATGGAGTAAGTAACTAGCTGAAAGGACTTTGAACATGGTCAAGGGTGGCATCTGTATAAGAAGTGAGTGGTCAGCCCAGCACCTCAGAGAAGCCCCTCCCTAACCCAGACCCATGTGGGCCTGCTCAGGTTAGGAAGGGAGTTAGTCATTGGCAGAATACCCACTGTGTCCCAAAGCCAAAGTCACACTGCTGTACCAAGAGTATAGGAGACGCCA